GAAAAAGAAACATTTTCAGTGTTGTTATCATTGGTTTTTTCAATAAAGCCGATAACACCATCTTCAGACACCAGAAAAAATCTTGCCAAAGCCACCATTTCTATCAGAAAGTAGAAATCAAGTGTTCACATCAATGTTAGTGTGGGGTTAAAATATAAAACATGCAATTTAGTTTGTCTAAGCAATTTATACAGGTCATGGAGATATTTGATTAGACAAATACACCCTGTGTAGTGATATTGTATCACCCTGATGGTATGGATTTTTTTCATGGCTTTATCACACACTGATATCCACACTTACATGTAATATGTAATTACAAGTATATTTCACTCTTGTCTTTATAGGTTGACGCAGCCAAAAAGAGGGTAAAATGGCTTCAAGACAGACTGGAAAAAGTTCTGCTTACTGCAAGAAGCTATTGTCACTTGTACAATAGAACATTACTAAGGAGCAAGGTAAGCCTTTGTTCAAAACACCTGTTAAAAAAATGGCTAGATGACCACTGGCGACAAGTCGCATGAGAGTGTCCTCTGTAGCCAATCAGAAGTCATCTAAAATGTATTAATTACCAGTCAAAGAAGTAGCACCTACTCAATCATATCATTTGTATACTTCTTGCCCAAAATGACAACTCAGTTAATGTGTTACGTATGAAACCCTGTGCTCTAGTACAATTTCACAGAATACATATTGTGTAGTTCCAGAAAATATCCATACCTCAGCCCATGGAAGGGATTTTCTCAGACCCCCACCCCTCTGGAAATTCCAATTATGCTTCATACATTTCTTTAAATGCTTTGGTCTTACAGAACCTCTACCCGCAGGAAATTCCAATTCCTTTCTGTGGGAGAGTATGGATATTTTCTGGAACTGCACATTTTGGTTCATGAAGTTTACAAATTGATAAGGCCAGCAATTTTCAGATTATCTAGATAATAAAATGATTAATGGTTAGTTACATGTATGCTGAATTTTAGAAATTATGGACACATGTTTAATAATTATTTGTCATTTGCTGTTTATAATTTTTCAACCCATGTAGACACCAAAATCTGGACTCAAAGATCAGATTTCAGAGAAGCTATGGAATAGACTCTCTGAAGGACAACAGCAATTGCTACTTCAAAGGGAGAGAAAGAGACTGCAAGAAACAAGTAATACAGTGGATGACAACATACATGCCAAACCCATTGTCAAGGATATCACAAAAATGCAAATGCCACATACTGAGTCAACAGGTACATGTATTGGTGAACTTGTGATAACTGTAATATTGATCGGTATCCTGGGAGGTACTGTACAAGGACTTTTTATTTGGAGGGTGCCCCACCCCAAGGTCCAACCCCTTACCCTTTTGTATACTATTTTGACAGAAAAGGTACCCCTGTCATATACTCCTTTCACATGGTCACTTAACCGGCACGTTTTAAGAATAAATTGCCAAAAAGGAAATCTTCTTGTCACTTGCATGTATTGCTTAATAAATTAAATGGCACAGCCATAAGGGGTGTCTGTTCCAAATATTCTAATTAAAGGCCCTTTTAAATAACTAAATGACAGATTTCCCTACCCTTTCATATACCTCAACTTGTGAAANTGCCAAACCCATTGTCAAGGATATCACAAGAATGCAAATGCCACATACCAAGTCAACAGGTACATGTATTGGTGAACTTGTGATAACTGTAATATGGATCAGTATCCTGGGAGGTACTGTACAAGGACTTTTTATTTGGGGGGTGCCCCACCCCAAGGTCCAACCCCTTACCCTTTTGTATACAGTTTTGACAGAAAACGTACTCCTTTCATATACTCCTTTCACATGATCACTTAACCGGCCCGTTTTAAGAATAAATCGCCAAAAAGGAAATCTTCTTGTCACTTGCATGTAGTGCTTAATAAATTAAATGGTACAGCCATAAGGGGCATCTGTTCCAAATATTTTAATTAAAGGCCCTTTTAAATAACTAAATGACAGATTTCCCTACCCTTTCATATACCTCAACTTGTGAAATCCCTTCCCTTTTAGATACCTGGAAAGGCACCCCTTTTGGGTGGAGTCTCCCTGTATAGGCCATTAGAGAGAGTATCCCCACCCCCTCCTCAAACAGTATATAAAACTACTGTCGTTCTGCCTTGTTATCATCAATAGACCTTGCTTGGGTGGTTTGTTGCCCCATTTCAGACCAACTGATGATATCCTTGAGAAGTTCTGGCATTTAAATTTTCAAATACAGTAGTCATGTGTAGTGAATGAATAATTTAAGATGGATAAAAGAACTAGTCTCAAGAGAATATCATGTGGGCTGTAATGGGAAAACAAACTGCCTAGAAGTTAAAAAAGCCTATTCAGAGTTATACAGAGACAGAGTCATACAGCCTACATGTAGACATGGTTGTTTGAACATGTATTACATGATCAACAAGTACCGTCTAGCATTCCATACTGGCCGTGCGGAGGTAGTAGCAATCTTCTTGGTTTACTTCATGCTGTGTAAAGCACAGTTTTTCAATTGTCAGCACTGTCCTGGCCACCCAAGCTTGTAGAAAGATTTCTGTAAAGTTAACATAATGTAACTTGGATGTTAAAGACATGATAACATAAAATAAAATTATACAAGTTTACTTTTATTATAGAATTAGTCACAGCTGACAAAAGTGTAGATGCAACAGAGGAACCTGAACATCAAGTCATAGTCACGGATACAGCACAAGAAAATGATAGCATGGGTCTTGTTAAGGAAAAGAGTGTGTCTCAAAAAAGGTACCGACGGTATATATGCAGTTCCTCTAACTTATGAATTAGAGAGATTTATGTGCTGTCTTAAAATGGGCTGCAGACATGAATTGTTGGTTTGCTAAATGATTCTCCAAAAAATGCACATCTTAGAGAATCTGAGTTATTTAAAATTGTACAGGTCTTAACTTGCCATCTTGAAATTTTTTGCAATGCTGTCTTGGATTCTTGATTTCTTCTGCAAGGCCAAGAAAGTGCCATCTCACAAAAAATTAAAAGCAGATAAAAGTCTGAGAACTTTATTTTGTAGTTTTAATTCATTTTTCGGTAGCTAATCAATTCCTGTCCTGTATGATGTCCCCAAATTGCTGCAATTAACAGTTTGCTACATGTATAGTACATGTATTACTCAGTTAGGGGTGGGGAACTTTCAATGGTCCTTCGTAATCATAGGTCTTACAGAATTTTGCAGGTCTTGCAGTCTTGTTTTTTAGCGATAATTTATGTATACCTCGTAGTCTCAATTTTTTCATCTTAAAGTCTTTCTTATCAAGTCCTTATTTGTTTGTTTTTATTTAAACAACATCTTCAATCATTTTAGAAACTGAATGTCCACGCATGTATTTAAAACACTTTGAAATCTTGGTCTTTCAATTTAAAAAGCCAAAATCTTTCAGGCTCACAAAGAAAAACTCTGCTCTCACCTTCTCACAAAATCTCACTTTACCATTCATTCTTTGTCTACAGAAAGCAGAGAAAAAGGTCAGATGGTTCCAAAGGTGGTAGCAATAAATCATCATCAAACAATTTAATGTCAATGCTTCCACCAACAAGTCCACAAGATGACCAGTCTGACCACGAATCTGACACGACTGCTGAACCACAATCAGAACCAGAAGACTTTGATGATCAAAGGTCAGATTCCATTGCAAGCTCAGTGGTCATTCATGAGTTCGAGACAGGTGAATCTGATGTCAAGGGACATGTTCCAGTGGTGGAGGTGTCTGAAAGTGATGGAACACCAAATGGTACTTGATATATAGTCGGATATGTCATAGGTCAAGTTGTTTGTTGTCGTTGTAAGTTTTAAATATCTAAAACAGGTTTTAATTGGTTGGTTAAGAAAGGAGAAATAATTTTTATAACATATCACCTCAGAACTGTCGCGATAGGGCCCACCAGTCCTCTCTCATCCGGTGTATGAAACACTGACCAACTAAGGTTTCCTTTATACATGTAGGCTGATTTTTAATTAAGTGTGCTTAATCAGGTACTTGCTTGTATTCAGGTGCATGCTCACTAGTTCACTCCTTTTGTTTAGGGTACCCACATCCAGTTTGCATGTGGTTTGCACATAATTATTTGTTTTAGATGAGTTTTTGCTTAGTTTTCTATCTCTGTCAGAAGATAAAAAGGAATATCTGTGTTGAGACAAAACTAAGAAAGTAAAAATTCAGATAACTTTTTTGTAATTAGATAGAGCAAATGTAAATCTCATCAGAAAAAATAATGAAAAATGTTTGTGTGAATTATTGATGTATTAGCTTTGTAATTTACCAGGAGATTTGAATCAGGTTCCAGGATGACCTTTACCGGACCAGGTCCGGCTGTGAGGTCAAACGACCAAAGTACCTTGGAGACTATCTTTAGATAAAGATCAGACACTGCATGATTTTGAACTTGGAGACTATGTTTAGTTTAAGATTAAACACTGCATTATTTTGAACTCAACTTGAGTTTAGATTATACTATGGGTAAGACAGATACTGTTTGCTCTCAGAAAGACAGCTTTAGATAAGTCATTTTGTTAATGTTTATCGGTTCAGGTTCTTGTGCTTTTAAAGAGGAAAAGATGTAACAATAGGATTAGAATACAGATCGACTTATGTAAGCTGATCTCACCTGGGGACTGGGCATTGTAAAATCGTAAAATCAGCACGCATACCTGAATATAGATTGATTCTGCTCTGAACTTAACTGTCTATGTCTTGGTTTCCCTATTCTTGTGGCTTATTACACAGTACATTAGCTTTGGCTAACTATGGGGCGCCGTTTGTAAATTTATTATTTAGACCGAATTTATGCCATTTTCCCCTTATTTATAANCTTTAGACCATCATGCAGCAAGTGAGGGTTTCAAACACAAATATGGTTTTTGGTTCACAGGCAGGCTTTACTGAGGCTGGCAACCAGGGTTTGTACACGACATGCAATAGGAGCAAAAATTTAATATTAATAAGGGCCATGTCAAAAGGGTAAAAAGCAACTGAAAGGAAGACATGTGATTACTGAATTTGTGAAACAGCCTCCATTTAAAAAGTAGCTAAAAAGATATGTCAAACATGAATTTTGTTAAAATTTGTTCCTGAAACAGGATATTGGCAACTCTCTCCCCCACCTTGCCTCTTAAATTACTTGCAGTTGGCTAAAAGATCAGAAATTCCCTGATTCTAAACTAACTCTCAGAGCACAGAGGAGAGTACACTCTTGGTTTGTGTAATAATTTACAACATTCTCTTTTCTTCTCTTCTTTTTATACAGAAAAGCGAAGTTTTGATCCAGATCTTCCATGGAAGGAGAAGCCAATGAAAGTCAACAGTGTCATTGATGTGCATGTAAGTATTAGGCACGTGACACTGAAAATATATGAGAGAAATAATTTATATACACGTGTACACATGGATGGCTTACATAATATCGTTGAGCTATTGTGTTTTTCTAAAAAAAGTTCAATTATTTTTTTGCCACAGCTTAAAGAATCAAAAAAAGGGGAAAAAATCATAAATGTCTAGTATATATGCAAATATCCCAACATGGTCATGTTCATGATTTCCTTTCTTTAAACTTGATGAATTATAAATGAGTTTAAGAAATTCAATCTATAAATTTTAAACATTATTTACCTTCAAGGAGTAACATTAACTTTAATGTATAACGGTATGCTTGGCAGTTAATAAATTCAGGCCACCTGCTGTAAAGTAAACTTTAAAATTGCCAAATTGAGTTGAAATCACCTGTAAGGAATCCTTGCACAAGTGTATTTATTTCCTTTACAGAAAATTGCACTGGATAAATTGCTGGTGAGACTTCACAAGATGTATGAAGCCATTGGCCAAGCAACTCAAACAACGATCGATCCAACTTTGAAAGATGAAAAAATAGAGACAGTGATGGGAAAACTTGAATGTGAGTTGATGAAATGACTGCTTGAGATGACTTCAAAACAAACTTTAATTTTATTTCCTCTGCCATTTTTGTTAGCTTGATTATGTGATTACTGGTATTCTGTCAAAGGCTTTGTTTGGCTTATTTTTCCAATGAGATTATTTCAATCATCAGTTTAATTTTTCTTTTCTATTTTGCTCTTAGTGGAAGTGGAGGGAGGTTCAGCAATGGAAAAACAGCAGGTACAGTATATACTTACATTGCATATAATACTATATCAAGGCTGTGGTCTATGAAAAATTACAAGCCCAAAGGTTCCTAACCATGAAATTCTGGGTGCCCTGCACTTAGCTTGTATGAAAAAACAAATTTTTTTCAGTCACCCAAAGGTAAAAGTTAGTCACCAGTGGCACCCGGATGCCTCTAGAGCACAGCTCTGTATATGCCATTAATTCAGTATAAAAAGAGCTTCTTATTAACATTTAACGTCTTCAAAAGATGCTCAAAAAACTAACTTGTAAGATGAAGAATGGCAATTTTTGGCCTGTTGTTTTTCACTGGTGAAAAATACGGATCATAATTTTTTTGTACTTAAGACGAGATGTCAATCAATTGTTGATTGAGGGTTGATCAAGAAAATTGATTGACACTTGACCATGCATTCCTTTAGTACACACGACTCAAAGATACTATCACCAAACATTAAAAGTTAAGATTAATTATGCAGCGTCCCATATGAGAAGGGTTTCGGAAACATGTTTGGTTATCTGTTTTCAGCAGGCTACCCAGCCATTGGTATCAAAACGAGCCAGCCATGTCAGTTTACCTCATATTGGTAGCCCAGCAACTGGACTAAAGAGCACAATGTCCATGGAGAAATATCCCGTAATTATACATGAACCTACAGCTATCAGGACGGCACGACGTGTAAGTGTTTTACCTCCCGGGGGAGGACTTCAATGTAAAAAGGACAGAGGTGCTGGTAGCACCTTTTAGTGGTGAAAAAAGTAATTCTGCCAGAAGATATTTGACAATCAGCAGATTTTTATTTTTGTCTCATTTACATCAATAAAAGAGTGTACATCCAGTTAATGTGTTGTTTTAGAATCAGCACCCCTTTGGGGTGAAAAAAATTCAAGCCATGCCCACAAAACAGGATCTTAGCACCTCTTTTCAAAATTTCTGACAAGCACCCCCATCCTTCTTATATGGGAGTCCACACGCAGGTGTTTTACATCAGCTGTAACTTTTCTTTTTGTTCTTTTCATTTGAGGCTCACAACAAGATTATAATTTGCATTACCAGTAAAATTAATTTATTCTTACTTGGCTGACTTGTAGAACCTGGGTCATGCCCTCTACTAACTATGGTCAAACCAGAACAAGAATCACCAAAATTTTAAAGATGAGAGCTGCTCAACAGATTCTTTTTCAACCTTCAGCAAGCATGTAACAAACACAAAAAAAATCATGCCAACTCTCCAAATAAAATTGATGAAGTCGAAATCTGACGAAAGTACACAAAGTCAACGGAAGTCATCAGGAACATATTTGTAGAATTATAGAATTATATAATTATATACAATGTAGATCAGAAATGCAAAAAAAAATAAATCCATTGGGAATCACTGACTTTGTTTCAGAGATAAGTGTATTAAAACCACTGATTTCAACGTCAGTTTTGTCATCCTTTTCATATTACTTAACCTTCAAACTGACATTTGAAACCATCATGCGGGGATCAAAAAGTTCAAAATGGAGAAATTCAATGGCTCCCTAATACAGTATTGAGACTCACTAGTCACTGCAAATGATGAGTTTACAAAGCTATCAGGTTATTGTTTAAGAAATATATGTTACTGTGTGATGATAATATTATTCTTTCCTGGTCACCTTTTTGTATTTAAAGTACAGTGTGAATATTTATTTTTATTAGAACAACCATGTACATGTATACAATTTTATGTGCAAAATTAGTGTAGGTTCAATTCAGTTAAGTAAGATGCATTTAAATATTGACTTCTTTGTTTATCTGTACCTTCATTCATAGAATCCCAAAAAGCTTTATCCCCAACATTCTTCTGCATGGTGTGAGGAAGTTGAAGAGAGCTATAGAATGCCGAGTATTGTTAAAGCAAAAGCAAAACCTAAACTTCACAGAGCAAAGAGTGTTGTGCAGGTAACAAACTATTCAATCATGCTGGACACCTTTCTGTGATGGGCACCTTTCTAAGACGGACACCTCTCCAACATGAACTGTCTGTCAGTTACATGTAGTTCTCTAAGATGGACACTGATACCACTTCTTAGATGGACACTTTCCTAACATGGGTACATCTCTAAGATGGACACCCCATTTGTGTAGTGTTACCCTTCTAAGGCCGATAGCTACAATGTATCTATATTAATATGTAAGATTGACTCCTCTTTGAGAGACACTTTCTTAACATAGATACCTCTCAGTTGTTTGCCATTGTAAATAGTTACTCCGTATTAAAATCCTTTATAATTTCTAATTCCCTTGTCAGCCACGTTACTTGCAACGAAAACAGGAAAGTCCCAAAAATGAGCGGCAAGTGTCAGAATTGTAAGTTCTTCAAACATGTTTCTTTGTTGTACATGTACATGGCTATGCTGTACAAATTACATTCAATTTGTTTTATCACTAAGTTACAGAAATCCATGCAGTAATAACTCTATCTATATCCACAGCCAATCCTACATGGGTGCTGCAGTTACTTCTCCAGCCAGTTGCTGAGGCCATCATGCATTGTCCCAGCATTTTATTATACTTACTGTACCATACACATTGTACTCCATATTTTTACCATCAACAGTATATCATACTATATTTTATTACTCTATAACAGTACTACATGTATTATAGATCTTTGGAAAACAGTCCTAAGAAAATACACACACTGATTGGTTAAAAATCGCATTTCTATAACTCGATAGAAACACCGAACTAGCACAAGCTGTTGACGTAATGATGGCGCAAGCAAAGAGAATTTACATTTTGATAATCAAAGTTAACAAGTTGTTTTCCTTTTTTCGTTGCAATGTTTTCTAAAAGAAATAGAAAACATGTTCTCCTTGTTTCTATTGAGTTATAGAAACACTCGTGAAAGTTTGGGAGAACTTGAAAAAGCTGTTGAAACACTTGCCTGCGGCTCGTGTTCCCACA